GATCACTGCTGTAAGATCCCCAAATACACGCCGCACTTTCCGAGTCAAATCTTGGCCATCACTGATCTCACTGCAGTTTCCTCATGTCTCTCTCCGTGTTCATGAGGATGGATTTCACTCTCTTCATTGTATCAGCTTTGGTTTGAGTAGTTGCAATTTGCCAATACATTCAAAAGCCAAAGTTTTCTGGCATTCTATTTATTGAATCATTCGATCACACACATACAACAGATCTGGAATAACATGCAACCCGCATCATTCAGATCGGGTCTATTGAGCAGACTGCGTCTATACAGCACTATGGCAGGTCTGTCTTTGAAGCTCTTCAAAGGCCAAGGCTGAAAGCCACCCAGTTAGGTGAGCAAAGAAGACGCGCTGCGCATGCAGGGCAGCTCTGCAGCCACTCTGTATATATTTTAAAAGCCAAAAGCTGATTATTTTGTCAATTTAGGCTTCTATTTCAATTGCTGCACAGTGTTTGGAGATAATTATGAGTTATATGGGCACCATGTTAAATTCCCAGTATGTTTGTTGCATGAATTTTAGCAAGAACATTAATTTTTATTACGTTGTGGTCTGCTAAATTAACACACAGCACAAATGTGGGCTGCTGAACTAAACTTCAAACAGCATTCGTGCCTGGTAAGCACAAGGTCCTCAGTTCAATCCCTGGTAGCAACCATCCACAAACAAAAACAAAAACACACAAAAAAAGCAAAAACAGTATTCACTTTATGTTTTATCTTTCATAGGTTAAAAAAAATTAAAATTTAAAAATTTCCTAAATTTAGAGGAAGAAATCCTAACCACTCTTGGAATTGACTTCATTGCCTTTCAGAAACAACTGATAAATTTGGTACTAAAGTGGCAGCGTTTAGCTGTTAGTGCAGGCCTTCTGGTGGAGCCCACACAGCAACAGCCTGGGCTTGATTTTCTTCATGTGCATGAGCAAGCTCGGGAGCTCGACAGGAACAAAATTAATTTAGAAAAAGAACCATTTAATCTAAATGAAAGGTCATGCTTCACAGGGCGATATTTAAATGCATTTTCTTTGGTTTCATGTGATAAATAGCTGGGTTTGGGCAGAGCATCCTTAAGATTCTACCAAGGTTTGAAAGAATACAGTAGTGAAGGAAGCTCATGTGGCCAGCGCCGCAGCCAAGGCCCTCACAAGTGGAGGCAGGCGTGAGCAGATGTTTTACTTAACCCAGGCATTGGTCATTAGCTTTCTTGAGAATTGAAAGCTTGGTGCTTACTAAGGCAGGAATGCACCTTAACAGGCCTACTGTTGCTGAAATGGGTTAGGACAAAAGTGTTACCAAACAACAAAAAACAACACCCCACAATCACACACATGAAAAGCTGCCTCACAGTGAGTGAGAAAGGCTGCGCAGCTGGGGCAGGCAGAGCCCCTCTGCAGGAGCTCCTCGGCCCCCGCCCCTGCCCCTGCCCCGGCTCCACGCATGTCTAATTCCCCGCTTTCCACACTTGCCCTCACGCCCCAGGCTGGCTGCCTGACAGCTTGTGAAGCTTCCAGGCCGGCTGGGCATGACACACCCTGCAGCCACCACAGGGCCAAGCGGGCCTGCAGGACAGGCATGAGCGGAAGTGACACTGGTGTGAAGGAGAATGCAACCACCCCAGTACGGGACACTTACGGATGCCCCGGACAAAAAACAGCCCTACTCCTAGAAGGGTGTCAATAAATGACACCTGAGAACAAAGCACAGCTGTTTCCAGGAAGCTTGTTGTCACCTAAGCAATATCTGACACAGGCTGTGGCATGTAACTGGGAACAGTGACAGCATTTTCCTTTACTAAGTGATGCTTTCAGCCTTTAATGAAATCTTAAATATTTCTTTTGTTCAGATCTCTGTATGTTATAGTTTCTACCCTGTACTAAGAATATAAATATATTTGTGCATTAAAAAAAAGCCTAACCAATGACTAATTGTTATTTCTTAAGATACTGTAGCTTGTAACATGATACTCATTTGATTTCAAATTTTCATGATGAATAAAACTCAGGAATAAATACATGCAATTTCTCATGTTAAATAAGCATCTATTTTTACACTAGTAGAAGCTTATAACACAAAGTGAACATGCTAAGAAAACTGGAAAAAACAAAGCACAATAAAGAATAGGATGATGTTATAGAAACGTAAGTCGTGACGAGTTACTAAATTACTAGAAACATCCAGACGTACTCAGGACCTTTTATTCATGGTTTCTCTTCAGCGCGTTACTTCATGTGGTATATAATAAATTCTCATCAAAGCCCCATGAAATAGGTCCTGTCTTCATCTTATAAATTAAAAGCATACAGAGAGACTCGGTTTTTGCTGAAGGCCACATAACAAAGAAATGACAGGAAAGCCAGAATTTATACTTGGTCTGCTGGAATCTGAACTCCACGTGGGTGCTTGGTCGCTGTGGTGCAAAGGTATGAAATGCTGACCTGAGAACACTGAAGTGGACGCACAGGTTTTAGTCTAAATCGTACTGAGGATTAGAGCTGTTAAAGGTAAATCTGAACTAATGAAAAAATGAATACTGTAGCCAGAATGGCAGCTGTGCAACAAGGGGTGAAATATTGTATTTATTTAATTTTATTTAATTTTTTTCTGTATATTAGGGAAGGTCTATAGGGTTTTCAGGCTCTCACTACTAGATGGGACTCACAGTGATTCTCCTGTTTACAGCCTCCCAAGAGCTGGGATTACAGGCTCGTGCCACCACACCCAGTCTCAACTGCCATCTCAGCACGCTTCAGGGCTGGGGCTGGCAGGCCTGGGGATTGAACCCCTGGCCCCTGCACCTGCTCGCAGGCGCTTTAATCCACTGAGCTATTTGGCAAAATACTGTATTTAAAAATAGCTCCAATTTCTATCTTTAAAGAATTCCTGCTTGGCTGGGGAAGTCGCTCAGTGGTACAACACAAGGTCCTGGGTTTAATGTCCAGTATGCACAAGGTCCTGGGTTTAATGTCCAGAACTGCAATCAATCAATCAATCAATCATTAAATTAAAAAATAAACAAGCCTCCCTTCAGCACTCACCTTCCAGGACTCGCAAGCACCTGAATGTGCTCCAGGGCACGGTCCTGTTTCTCTCTGCTGTTCCTATTCCCAGGGAACACTTAGGAATTCCAATGTTAGCTCTGATGTTACCTCCCTCACGCCCAGACTCCAGGTCTGGGGCAGATCTCCCACTGGATCATCTCCACTTGGTGTCTGACAGTCATGTGGAACAGAACAGGCTTAACCCTCTAACTTTCCTTCCCTCCAGCCTTCCCTGTATCAGTAAGTGATAATCCCACCCTCTGGCTGCTTGAGCTAGAAGGCTGACTTGTTCTTTTTTCTCCACTCTCCACATCCAATCCAGCGACACAGCCTTTGGCACTAGCTTCAAAGCTACATCCCTGCCCTCTTCCCAACTCATCCATGGGTTCCACTTTGGCCCAAGCCACCGTCTTTTGTTCCCTGGATTGGTGCACGAGTCTGTTCTTGTCCTCCTTCCCCTGCAGGCTCTTTCTGTGGCAAGCTGCACTAGACACGGCTTGAGAGCTAGGACTTATTTGGTTATGTGGCACCACAGAGAACTCTCTTGTTTTAAAAACAGTGGACTACTTTTTGCTTCTATTTCAACTGAAACTTGGTGGAAAATACCTTCAACATGAAAATTACAAAAGGGAAGCGAGGTGGCAGGGGTCCCAGGGTGATTTAGCCCTTCCACCCTCAGGTCACCACGGTGCCGGGAGCGGGAGGCATTCTGAAACCTACTGCCCAGGAAGACCTTACAGAGCAATTCCAGGCTCCTCACAGCAGCAGCATTCTGGAAGAACTCAGCTGATTTCAGTTGGCTACAGAAGCGTGCATTAGGCACAAAGCCCTACTAAAAACCTTGTCAAGGGGCCAAGGAAATAGCCCAGTGGCACAGTGCCTGTTCGACAAGCACAAGGTTGTGAGTTCAATTCCTGGCCCCCCAACATAAAAAATAAGTAACAACCTTCTTAGGTTAAAAAGGTAGTCACTTGCTGCAAACAATGTAAGATTTCAATCAACCATATACATTTTTTTGTAAGGGTGCTTTATTATGCTTATGTGATGGTCTTGCTACGCAGTTCAGATTCGTAGTAATCCTTCTGTCTCATCCTCCCCAGAACTGGGATTACAGGCATGTGTCACCATACCCGGTTTCTATTATGCTTTATCTAATATCCTAATATTTTCTTCTGTTGTTGCTCACTTTTACTATTTTTCTATAATAAAAATGTAAACAGTATTCTGCTCATCTTGATCATCGATTTGATGCCTATTTACTGCCAAGAGAATACTACTTCCTTAGCTGGAAATGAAATGTGCTCATATTTTTAAGGGCGAGAGGTGCATTTCAGGAACTCAGAGCAGCAAGAATAAAGGCTCCTCTAAAATAGGCTAGGCCGGTGTGGAGCCACACCCCTGTAATTCCAGCACCCAGGGGCTGAGGCAGGAGGACCGCTGTGAGTTTGAGGCCAGCCTGGGCTAGAAAGGGAGTTCAAAGCCAGCCTGAACTGCATAAGGAAACTCTGTTTCAAAAGTCTAAAAATTGGGCTGGTGAGATGGCTCAGTGGTCTAAAGCACCTACTTGGAACAAGCTTAGCAAAGCACAGGGACTGCGGTTCAATCCCCAGCACCACATGCCAGCCAGCCCCGCCCCCTGGTGGGCTGAGCTGGCCACACACACACAGACACACACACATACACAAATAAATAATAATAATAAAAAATAATAATAAAAAAAAAGTCTAAAAATTACGGATCTTAAAGGAACGTTACTTTAACAAGGGACGGGGGTTTATGAAAGTGATTCTCAGTCATGTCTGACATCGCTGATTGCCAGTTAGTAAACAGGGGTCACTGTCTTCCCCTTCCTTGTGGGTGACCAGCTGTCATGGACGCAGTACATAAACAACTAAACCTGCGCGCATACCAAGTGATTTCTGCTTTCGGTTCTTACCGGTGACAGAGACTTGAAGCAACTCAACTGTACCGTGGAGGCCTGCGGCTTTCAGGTTGTCGCCCGCGCCGAGCAGCTGCGAGCTGCTCACGTCAGCGCCCACGTAGTACCCAGCCTATGGAGGAAGAAATGTTCAGTAGAAAAGAAAACCATGAGATCCAGCAGTGATTAGCAGAAGCTACTTGTATGTTCTCCAATGGTGAAAATTAACAGATTTTTAAATTCAAACAAATAAATTTATAGGTGTTCTTTAAAATATTAATAACAAAATGAAAAGCTTTTGTTAAAATTTTAAAATATGGTAATACTTTACAATTAAAAATGCCTAAGGAATCTGGGGATTAGTCTATCTAGGTTGTGACTAATTACTGGAATTTTGTCAAATTTTCCCACAGACAAGAAATTTACCCTTTTAATTTATTTTAACCACAGTGACTAGTAACCTGTAACATTAAAAATTATAACCCCATCATTGATAAATGAATATACTGATTAAAATAAATTCATGTCTGCATCTTGTATTAAGGATAACCACTAAGAAGATAACAACGTACAAGGTATTAATTATTGAAACTGTTCTATTAATCAGTTTTGAAACTGTCTCATTGCTATTTGTTTCTCAATAAAATTAATAAAAAAATAAATGTATTGCTTAGTTACACCAAGTTTTACCACTTACTGGCCATTCTTTAGCAGCTTCCAAAAGTATTGTTCCAAGTCCACACATTGGATCTAAAACAAATGCACCAACCTATAGACAGAAACATGAATCTTTATTGTTAGGTCTTTCTTCTATGAAACTTAGGTCTTCTATGAAACATAAAAAATAAAAACTTTTTTAGATGAAGAAGGTAGTTACTTGCTGCAAACAATGTGAGATCTCAATCAACCACATACATTTTGGGTGGTTGCTTTATTATGCTTTTTAAGTTAATTACTTATTTGATACAGGGTCTCACTATGCAGTTCAGACTCGTAGTGATCCTCCTGTCTCAGCCTCCCCAGCTTCTATGAAGTTTCTTCATAGAAGAAACTTAAACCTGGAGGAATCAATATTTCAAGAGTAAAAATCCTTTTTATACTTCAACAGTCACTTTAGGTAAAATCTGACAGCATAATAAGCTTTCCATGTTTAAAGAGTAGAAGGAAAATCAGTGTGAACAATACCAGGGATGGGGTGGTGGTGACACTGAGCGGCGGTGGGGGACACCACCCAGGCCGGCTGGGGCACTGCCCGGACAGTACGCCTGGATCTGAGAGCCAAGAGCAGCGTGCGCCTAAGCCTGTGCAGCCCAGGAGGACACCTGGTCTTTCTGCTCCTCACTAGGGAGCCCAGGCTGAAGAGTCAGGGCTGTTCCGAGTGCAGCCACTACCATGGCTGAAGCAGAGAAAGTGTGACAAATGCTGCGCTGCTCTGGAGGGTGCCACCTGGCAGGGACTCATTCCTCCCCCGGCATTCAACTGGCCAGAACATGGAGTGTGGCAGTCATGCGATTTCAAGGATCCAGGGACGTATGTATAATCCTACCCATATTTGGGAGAATAGGAATTTAGAGGAAAAACCCCAATTTCTTCCACTCTGGGGAATCGTGTCCTCTCACGTCCTGTATATCAGCCAGGTGCAGTGGCACCTGCCTGTAGTCCCAGCACTCAGGAGGCTGAGGCAGGAAGATCACCATGAGTCTGAAGCCAGCCTGGGACTACACAGTGAGTTCAAGACCAACCTGAGCTACACAGTGAGACCCAGTCTCAAAAAAATAAAACAAACACACACTTTTGTGGCTCCATTCCGATGGATGGGTAACTACTGGATGGCTGAATAAGGAGTCACAGGATGTACACTTGAGGGGACCATGAGGCCACAGGCCAAAGGAGGCCAGAGTGTCGACAGCGAGGCTACTGAGGAAGCCCAAGTGGGAGAGGATGGAGGTTTGAATGACGAGAGATGAGGTGCAGGTGGCTGGATTCTGGGTATACTGTTCAAGGTGGGGCCAAGAGGAAGAACTGGACGTGAGCTCTTAGACAATCCTTAGGGAGAACTGCCTGTCACTGAGATGGCAGCAAGGTGGGAGGAAAAGTTCTGAAAGGAATATATTTCTGGATATGTTAATTTTTGAGATACTTCTCAGACTTCCAAGCGTGAATGCCAAGTGAGTCACTGGATAAAGGAATCCAGAGTTCAAGGGTTCAAGGTTCAAGCTACAGACTTAAGTTTGGAGAAACTGGTGGGAGTCATAAATGGTATTGAAAGCATCAGAGAGAGACGAGCTCGCTTGGGAAGCAAGAGGTGCTGAGAATGGGCGGTCCACGGACCGAGCTCTGGTGCTTCCCCAAGTGCCGATGCTGGAAGATGAAGATCCAGAGGCCACACGTGACGGGAGGGAAAATCTGGAGCGCTGTTCTGGAAAAGGGTGGGAGAACCCGTTTCAAGGAGCATGGTGGTGCCCTAGTGCACCACAGAAAGGTGAGCGTGGTCAGCGCAGCGCTGACGGAGCCTCACAGAGGTGGGCACAGCAGAGACTGGAAGAAAGGAAGACGGCAAATATGGGCAATTGTCTTAAAGTTTCTCATTTATTAGACAGAAGCAGAAAAAGGGGGCGGCAGCTGAAGGGACAGACGGGTTCAGGAGAGGGATTGTGTTCCTTCAATACACAAGGTACAGCAGCAGGTATATATGCTGCCATCGACCTGGTAGGGAAAGCTTCCCTGAATACGCGACAGGAAACAGAATCAGGTACCAAGTCCCGGAGCAGGACAGACAGTTTCCTGCTGTTGTGCTGCGGCAGAACATGAGGGTACAGACTGTGACACACTGGTGGATTCGGCCAGGAGAGCATGCCTCAGTTTCCTTCTGATTCTAATATTTAGGTGAAATGAGAAGGAAAAGAGTTAAAGGTGGGGACAGGCACACAATGATGGCAACAGAGTAACCCATGCTGTGAGGAGGGCTGAGAGCAGGTGGTGAGAGTGAAGTGCAAGCCAAGCGGCTGGAGCGCCCTGGAGAACTGGCAGGAGCGAGGGAGGAAGAGCAGCTCCAAATTCTTTTGCTCTGAGAGGGCATCTCGCTGTGCTGGCCACATGGCCTCGGACTCCTGCTCTCACGCCATTACCCTGCCCTTGCCTCCTGAGACTAGCACTACCTCATTCTATCTGGCTGGGACAGGAGTCTGGAGACTGACACCAGGAAGGGATACCCTTCTGGCATGACAGGACCTAGCATGTGCCCGGTCAGATCATTAGAGGCAGGGAAGCCGAAAAGTCAAAGGCAGGCTGCTGACTGGGTATGAGGACCAAGGGATTATGGGGCTGGGAACGTAGCGCAGGGGTAGAGTACTTGCCTCACGTGGGTAAGGCCCTGAGCTTGATCCCATGTCCCCCAAATTATGATGGGAATAAGGGTCTACACTCTGAGACTGGCATAATCTGAGGACATGCATTTTAAGCATGCCAGGGTTCTGGGCAGAAGGGATGAACTGATCATTTTGAGGGCAAGGAAGAGCAAGCAG